AAGAGTTAGGAACATTTTCAAGGAGCAAGGAAGAGTAATCAGGTGGACAGCAGATTGCATTTGACATCGAATTTAAATCTTTGCAGATTAAAGTTGGCCGGAAAGCATGGAACCGAAAGAGAGTTCCACAAATGGAACAAGAAACCGTTAGCGTGGAACTTACGGTTACTTCTAACGATGTTAAACTGTAAATTGGTAAGATCTCGTCGCTAGTCTTGTACTGCGAATAAATTTGAAGAGTCTAGGCGCCATAGCGAGGAACTCATCCGAACAATTACCATGAAAGTATTTATAGAAAAGACATAAAGAAGCAAATTTACGGCGGTGGGAAAATGGTTAAAGCCAAGATACTAGATCAGGGCCAATAATATTGTTGATTCGTCTTTGGATTTTATCAAGGATGTCTAGATAGAAAAGCAGGAGCGACGGATCCCATGAAGCAAGAATATTCCGAGCATGGACGATATTTTCTCGAGACAAAACCATCTACGAAGACATTCCTGCCAGTTGACCTTGCAATAGATTCAATATAGTCTTACCTCTTCACGTCAGCCGAGATCGTTAGCCCGATAATTTACAACGAGTCACTCTCCTGGAGGTCAGCATCAGCCATGCTTATGGAAGGCAGAGAAAGTTCTCGCAGATGATTAATGGAGAGAAGTTTAGTTTTGGAAGCGTTAAAATAAACAAGCCATCCTTACCCCAGGTAACAAAAGACTGAAAGTCGTTTTGGATATCAACTGCCATTTTGACCTTATCAAACTTCTCAGACTCACTATCGAGAGAGTAGTAAAAGATTGTGTCATCAGCGTAGATACCAAGTTGAAAACTGATGCCATCGGGAAGGTCATTAATGAAAATCAATAAAGAAAGTAGGTCCAAGGATGGAGCCCTTGGGGGTTACCTTCATTAGCACGAACGGAAGTGGAAGGGTGGTCGTTCAGGATTACTTTTATTTCACGATGCAATAGGAAAGATTGGATCAATTCAAAACTTTGTCCAGGGGCACCGTAACTTTTCAGTTTGTGGAGAAGACCTGCGTACCAAACCCTGACGAAAGCTTTCAAGGTGTCCAAACCTACAGAGCAGGCTTCGCCATTTTTATTTAGAGCTTGGTAGACTCTTTCCGCAATTATCATCAGTTCATCAGCAGTTGAACTGGAGAAACTAAAGCCAATATTGCTTGTCTGAAAAAAGGCCCTGCGATGTGATATTGGTTCACTGCGTCATGTCAGACAATTTTTCTTATCATAATCCATCTTGCACATTTATAAATCTACCATTCGTCCGTGTATTGAATACTACTACGTTATCTAGTCTTATGTTCCTACTATTTTGAAACCAATTTAACCAATTCAACATTGATTCGATCCTTTAGGAGTTTCCTAAAAAAAGGTAAAAAAGTTAATAGGCCGAGAGTTGTAATGGCCGGATGATTCACCAGAGTTCTTAACACCTGGAACAACAGATGAAGAATTCTAGCTGACAAGAAAGCAAGAAAGCAAGAGGCGGCGAGGCACTTATTATACAGATTAGAGAGAATAGGAGTCAGTTTGAGGGCACACCTTAATTATTACAAGGACACCATCAAGTCCAAATGCTTAGTGGGGATCCAGGTAAGAGATTAGAACAGTGAGGATACCCAGACGAGGCTATGTCGAAGGGCAGAGTCTTGTCTCGGAAAACAGCTACCCGAACCGGTTTTATACTGGGTCTAAAGGGAATTTTTGTCCGAGACTACAGGCTCGGATACCCCACAATAAATTCGGCCTTGTGTCACATCTGATGCGCGAACGGATGGTAGATATTCCTGCAGTTGGAGATTCATTGTGGAATTCACTTGACTCACTTCTAGTAGTAGACTACTTCTTGTACGCGCCGTTGGCGAATCTTATATGTGTTGTTCTTATCCTAAGTATTATCGTTCATTATCAACCTTCGTGTGATTATTCTATCCAGTAACCTTCCTTAGGTTACAACAGTAAGGGATTGAGCAATGGAAAAGTTTAATAACTGAATATCTGCAACATCAATAACATTAAAATAGTTAATCTACGTGTCGTTATGCGCATTAAAATCACCGAAGACAGAGATGTTCACAGATGGATAGAGAGTGTTGTTTCGATGCTGTCAGAGATTATGTCTAATATACTGCAGTCCTGAGAAAAGGAGGAGCGATAAAAGAAAAAGAGATAGCTAACAGAGTGTAACAATGAAAGTCGAAAGCACATGATGGAGATGCCAGGGTTTCTCGCGTGACAATTTCCTTAACTTTTTATATATATATATATATATATATATATATATATATATAGTCATCCACATACAAGCCTATTTCGCTGTATCACAGCTCATCAGTGTGGCTAGACAGTCGATTGCTTCAAGCCAGGAACGAAACCTGACCGAATTCCCATCAGTCGGAGGTACTGTACTGTACTGATGCGGCATTCACCCTGGGCGGGTTGAGCCGGCTTCTTCCTGTTGTGAGAAGAAGATTCTTGGGATAAATTACAGAAGTAGGGTACCCAGGCCTACTCGGATAACGTTCTTGCTTGCCGCGGGGTTCCCACAGACGCAGAGACAGGAACGACCAGAAGCCGCCGGTTACCGATGCAGACGCTCCTTGGATTTTCACCAGAGCCCTTGTTAGCCGGCGTGTGTGTCAGACCTGTCCGCCTTGGGTGGCCCTACCAGGAACGAAGTTCCGGACGGCATAGCTCTGACACTACCGTTTACACCCCCCCACCGACTGTCGGAGGTCGTCCCACTAAGCTATCGGCACACGAGAGAAAGGGAAATTTTAACGTATTATATACGAGATGTATAAAAACGCCAGCAGCCAGACTGCTCAATTCATTAATGAAGTGCGGTACGATAATAGCGGCGACGGCTACTGTTTTGGAATTACCTTTTTCTCGAGAGTGCTCCATCGAAATGACGAGAGCGTAACATAGCCATATATATATATATATATATATATATATATATATATATATATATATATATATATATATATATATGTGTGTGTAAAGCAAATATATGGATATAGATCCGACAGTATGAAAAAAAATATACTGAAAAAAACAAAAAAAAATCCTAATATGCGATTATGCTGTTTTAATGTTTAATGTCAATGTCGGGCGTTTCGGTCTAATAGACCATCTTCAGGACATATTCATAAAACATAATTAACATAGGCCATATACAATTCAACATGAAAAAGACGATAGACATAAAAGCAATGTTGAATTGTATATGGTCTATGTTAATCATGTTTTATGAATATGTCCAAGATGGTTATTAGACCGAAACGTCCGAAAAACATTAAAACAGCATAATGCATTTAGGATTTTTGTTTGTTTTTTCAGTATATTTTTCTTCATATATATATATATATATATATATATATATTGTTTTGGATTTGCTCCAAGTGGGGCTACAAAGAGAGGAATACATAATTTACACATGTAAACAACGGTTTGTCATTCTTTATAGAGGTGAAAGGAAATCCCGGCAGAAGCTACTGTTACACAAATGTGTGTATATAAGTAATGTTATGCATACCATTATATATAGTAAAACTTGTAAATATATAGGTGTGTTTCAGTATAATAGGAACACCGGACTAGATATCATAGTGGTATTCAATGTACACACGAATGGTAGATTTATAAATGTGCAAGATGGATTCTGACAAGAAAAAATGTCTAACACGACATATTGAACCAATTTTCCTTGCAGTAGACCTAGCAATTGATTCAGTATAATTACTTTACTTCATGCCAGTGAAGTACATGACCCTAAAAAGATATAAAGTGTTGCACTCCTGGAGTTTAGCATCGGCCATGCTTATGGCAGGCAGAAAAGATTCTCTGTAGTGATTAAATTAAAGCAGTTTTGTTTTGGAGATGTTGATATTTACAAGCCATTCCTTGCCCCAGTTAACCACTGCCTGGAGGTCCTTTTCGAGAGCAGTTACCAGCTTTACTTTGTTGGATCTGTCAGACTTGGTACTAAAGCAGGAGTAAATAGTTGCATTTAAACAACAGGATGTCATTACTTGTATGGGAGAAAGGAAATAGAATAAAGTTCAATGCGGCGATATTTTTATGTGTTTTATAAACAGGCTAACAGATGATTAACAAGAAATAAAAGATACTTGGATTCATGCCAAAATAGCTGACATTAAAATCTAAATATTAGAAATTATGTGTGTATGTATGTATGTATGTATGTATGTATGTATGTATGTATGTGTGTGTGTGTGTGTATGTGTAGAAGAGTTCAGTCATCAGTGAAAGATATCCCCAAGCTCACGACAAGTTCAGTGTTGTTATTTCTACTACTACATCCTGAAAGAAAAAGGAGGAAGAAACAAGAAGTGCCCCATTTAAAATCTAGATATGAATAATTTTGTGTTTGTGCATATGTATGTATGCATGCATGCATGTGTGCATGTGTGTATGTGTGTGTGTTTGTGTGTGTGTGTGCAGAAGACCGATCACCCGGGGAAAGATATTCTCAAGCCGCGAAAAAAATCACGTGTTTGTGTTAGTTCTGCCGCACACTGGAAGGAAAGAAAGAAAAAGAGGATGAAATGGGAAGTGTCCAGTTTTTATAGGTCTTACGGAAAAATGGGTGTAATCCTAATATATATATATATATATATATATATATATATATATATATATATATATATATATATATATCGCTACAAACATTGTTTCTAGGAATACCTTTATTTGAGGGGAGACTCCGTTTTTTAAACAGGATTTATTTCCTGTGCCGGTCTACATACTAGAGAAAACTTAATAAAGATAATGTACCCTCTGGCAGGATTCGAAACTGCATTCCCCTTTAGAGAAAAAACAAAACGACCGCCTGATCAGGCGTGCTTTGACCGCTAGGTGATGGATAGATATTACTCCGAGGGTATCAGGGATTTTACTGCCATGAGAACAGGCTGATGATAGTAAGTTATTGCTTACATGTTATTACAATCAATATGAAGCAATGCCATAAGATACCTTGATGACTGAAAGAAAGGGATAGATAGATAGATAGATAGATAGATAGATAGATAGATAGATAGATAGATAGGGAGAGAAAAAAACAGATAGATAAATAGATAGATAGATAGATAGATAGATAGGGAGAGAGAGAAAGAGAGATATATGAAACAGATTGAAATACACAAATAGATAGATAGATAGATAGATAGATAAAAAGAGAGAGAGATGAAATAGATTTACATATACAGATAGATAGATAGATAGAGAGAGAGAGAGAGAGAGAGAGAGAGAGAAAGAGAGATATATGAAACAGATTGACATACATAGATAGAGAGAGAGAGAAAAAGACAGAGAGAGAGATGAAATAGATAGATAGATAGATAGATATAAAGATAGATAGGGAGAGAGAGAAAGAGTTATATGAAACAAATTGACATACACAGATAGATAGATAGATAGATAGAGAGAGAGAGAGAGAGAGAGAGAGAGAAAGTGAGATATATGAAACAGATTGACATAGATAGATAGATAGATAGATAGATAGGGAGAGAAAAAGAGAGAGATATGAAATAGATTTACATAGATAGATAGATAGATAGATAGATAGATAGATAGATAGATAGAGAGAGAGAGAGAGAGGGGGGGAGGAAGAGAAAGAGAGATATATGAAACAGATTGACATACACAGATAGATAGATAGATAGATAGATAGATAGATAGATAGATAGGGAGAGAAAAAGAGAGAATGATAGATGAAATAGATTTACATAGATAGATAGATAGATAGATAGAAAGATAGATAGATAGATAAATTAAAAGTGTAGGCATATGACGATATATTCACGTGAATCACAAACATTTAGATTAAAAAATAACATAAAACTCACGGGATATCGATTATAATCAACAATTAAGAATAGCTAAAACATATTTAAAATTGAGATACAAAGTCATTAAAAGATTCTAATGGACTTTCATTCTTGACAATGACTGAAATCAGCCAAAAGCCTTGAAATATAAAAATAAGCTGCCATGAACTGTAGACAGCTTTTTTATAGTTTCTATTCTAAGATACGGAAATCAATCCCTCAATGAGAAAAACAATATGTCATAATCACGAGAGCCAAATATATATAATGCTGCACAAAAGAAAAAATCTGATCAAGGTCGAGACTTCAAAAGTGTTCAAATATTATTTGTAAGGGTTCACTTACTTTTGCCCATCTTAATTTTTAATGAATATTTTTATTTATATTTCCCGTGATTCGTAGGGTCGTTGGGGCACCATGTATACTGCAGCCCCAGCAGAAGTGATGTTTCTTGGGCAAGATAACCTGACGGAGGCCAACTGAGGAGGCGAATGTAATGGATCCGACTGGAATTCGACTCTCCGATTCCTCAGTCCGAGCCGCTATACATTACTCCACCGTACCTCTCTTTATATTCCGGATTGTTAAAAAAATTGAAGTGGTTCTATTTCTTTTGGTAAAGGCTTTTTTTAATGAATATATAGTTTATTTAAGATTTGTTGATTATCTGGAGAAAAGAGACAAATATCTTTAATATTATCTTATGGTCTCACTTACTTTTGAGCAGCACTATATATGATAAATATATAGTTTTAACGTATGCTATATTCATGGGCAAAAGTGCTTAATATCAGAGATAGAGTTCGTGCAACTATAACAGTGGTTGCCGGTGTCAACACCAAGAGACAACAGTCTGTTTCATGCTTTCACGCAAGCATCAGGCCATCTTCCACTTGAAGATTGCGTTCCAGTATGAAACAGATTGTCACCACTCTGTGTTTGATCACAGTGTCCACTTAGATAGATAGATAGATAGATAGATAGATAGATAGATAGATAGATAGATAGATAGATGGTGATAACCCCTGACAAGTGGACCGAACGATTACAAAAAATGTTCAGCTACTAAACTCTGCAGTCAGGATGCTGAATATAACACCAGTCAGTTAAGTAAATTTTATATTTGTATTAATCAAATATATATATATATATATATATATATATATATATAGAAAAAGTTTCAAATTAAAAAATAATAATGTTTTATTTTATGAAAGTATTTATTTATTTATATATATATATATTTGATATTTCAAATTGTCCTCAATCTTTCATCAGAAATAACTGTTTGTTACAAATAAATTAAAATTACTGTTTGTTAGCAAGTAGCGTTCTTCGCGAGACGCGGACGTCACGTGATATGGAACGTCACTGTTCGGATATTCCTAACTTAAATCTAACTGTCATAAATATTTTAAATGTTGTTTAAAAAATTTTTTTTAACTATATCTAAAAAAATGCTTAACTATTGAAATATTTATAAAGATTTAAAACACCCAAGTCCCTATTCAACCCTAGTTTATGTGTATTTAATTTTAAAAATCCAATATGTTTCTTTTTTCTGCGTGTGTATGTGGAACTAAAATCGGAATCTATCAATAAACATTTGCAGTTTTCTAATGTGTCCTGATTGATTGAAGTGTTTAACTATGGGGAATAAGGGTTGTTTTGACGTATTGTTTGTTTATGGTTATTGAAAACGAAATCTAAAATTATTTCCAGACTCACCAATATATCCACTATGAGGACATAAGTTGCAGAATAAATAATAGATTACGTTATGGCTATCGCAGGTGAGGTTAGGTGGCTGTATATATATATATATATATATATATATATATATATATATATATATATAGAGAGAGAGAGAGAGAGAGAGAGAGAGAGAGAAAGCACGGTGGAGTAGTGGCAGCTTGGATTGAGGAATCGGAGAGCAAAGTTCGAAATTCCAGTCAAATCCATTACATTCACTTATGTACTAATACCCTTGGGAAAGGTATGAATCCTCTTCTTTTCCCTCCAGCTATGGGTAAATAGCAGGACAGACTGGGTTCTATAGCCATGGATAGTAACTGGTCTAGGAGAAGGACAACTCTGAATTCAAAACCTGCGGAGGGTCGTTTGGGGACCTTGTGGCACTTAGTGCACCAGATCGATGTATTTGTGTGGTTGGTTTCTCACAAAGCCTTCACCACTATACTCAAATCATATGTGCTGGGGCCTGGCTGTCGGTTCCTATAAACTGAGCTGCTTGACTCTTATACTTTGAATACGACGGGAGAGTCCACCAATATTGTGTATTTAGGCAGCAATCTCTCTTTTATACATGTTTCGTTAAAGATGACAGACAACGTACTGCGTTTAAGCTTTTTATTTAATTTTTCTTGTGTTTGAATAAGTGTTTTCTTTTCTGGGCACAGAGTGTGTAGAAACTGTCCAAATTTTCCGTAATTAATACTTTTAGATATTATCAAGTACAGTTTCTTAAGGGGAATTTGAACTCGTACGCCATTTTATGTTTTTAATTACGCGCATGCGTGTTGTCTTTTTTTTATTTTGTCGACTGCACAATATATTAGGGTTAGTTGGGCACCGTCTGTGAGAAAAAGAGCATCATGATGCAATTCACTCCAAAAGAAATTTGAAAAAGGCATGCTGCACTGCTTGGCATTCGCGCCGGAAGTTCCAATACGAACATTTCAAAGTGCTTGGGTATCTATAGCAGAGGATTTGGAAAGTGTTGGATGAGTCTAATGGTGATTACGAAAGTTTTTGAAGTGATCACTAGTGATGGCGACGTTATGACTCCTTGTATCTTCCCATTTGGGCTTTAGACTCCAAACGGAGACCTACATCAAGTACTTTGAAGGAACAGTGTTGCCCTAGATGGCAACTAGAAGACCCTATATCTGGCGACAGCACTCTACACCATGCCACACAGGCAGGAAAACCCAGTCATTGCTGTCAAATTTCTGCGATCACATCACCGTTTACACCTGGCCACCTAACTCTCTAAACTTGCAATCACTTTTGATGTGTGATGCGTGGTTGAGCGGGTGACCAATGAAAGAAATAACTCCTTGTAACACCAAAGATGAACTGAAGGTAAGGATTATGGCAGCATTTACCAACTTAAATACGGAGACTTCCCAGGGGAGTTACAAGAGAATCCGAAGTTGTCTGGAAGCCGTGATTGAAACCAATGGCGATTTTATTGAACAAATTTCCTCTTTAGTATTTCAAGATATTTTCGTATAATTTTCGCAAATATATCTGTTAAAATGAGATGTCGGTGTTATTTTTATTTTTGCTTAATTTAGACGACAATTCATCCATCGCACCAAGTATATATTAGGGAAAAGTAATATGAGAAAATGGAAAAAGTTTTTGTGTGACGCGTTTAGTCCTTTTGGTGTTCATCGGACTAAGTTTATGTTTGCGTTGATGCCACTACACATACGCACGAACAAGAGGTGCAGTGAATTTTAAATTCATGTTACATATGGAATGGAAACAAATAATACATTAACTTTCCTAGATATCATGCTATACCTCGTTAACAGCAACTTAAAACTTAGTGTCCACCGAAAATCAACTAACAAAAAGGAACTCATAAATTTCTATCCGCATCGCAATAACAAAATAAAATCCGGAATAATCATCGGATTCTATTAAAGAGCACTAAGAATTTGCAGCCCCCAATATTTACACGAAGAGGAGAAATATATTGAAATTACTTTCAAGTTTCTTCAATGCCCTAATTATTTCATATTCAATGCAAAACAAAAAATATTTAAAAATTAGAAAGTGGGTTCTTCCTGAGGAAGCCAACGAGTCAATATATACTGTTCTATCCACTAAACTTATCGCAACTACAATTGAAAAGAATTTATCTAAACTCAACATAAAAGACTTAATACAAAACAAAATAAAAAACTAAAACTTGAAGAAGGAATTTATTCTATCACCTGTAATAATTGCCACACAAGTACATCAGAGAAACCTCAAGGAATTTCAATAAAATATTATAGGAACAGAAAAGTGATCTTTTAAAGAACAACACATTAAATGCACCGTAACGAGATTGACCATAATTTTGATTTAAGAACGCTATTCTAATTAAAGAGAAAACAATTCTTTAAGGAAAAATGTTTAGAAATGGCTTTAATCCACCAAAAAGTTCTTACGTCTCATCATTCTTGGCTGGTCTTCTCTTATCGCAATGTGGAATATTTAATAACAAAAGTTTTTTTCATATATATATATATATATATATATATATATATATATATATATATACAGAGAAAGAGAGAGAGAGAGAGAAACAGACAGACTGACAGATAAAGACACACAGAGAGGAGGTGTTTCCTCTTAAACCGAGATATTCGTAAATTATGTTACATGCCAAATTTTATAACATATCATTTTGTTAATCTGAACATTGCATGTCATATGTCAGTTTTGAAGTGAAATTTATAATCGACCTCAAATTCATAGGCACTTCCTTCTGTTTTGTTACTTTTTACCAGAAGGTATGTCTGGCTCTCTTACCTACCTGTTTACTTATATCTGCACATCCGTCTAGATGTATCCACTAACAAATTTGTAATTTGCCTCTTTAACTGATGTGTAACGGTTCGTAATGAAAAATCAGAGAACCGAGTTCAAATTCCAGTCGAGTTCATTACATTTACTTACGAGCAAATAAACTTGTGAAAAGGTGTTGATCTATATCTTCTCCCCCCTAACTATGGGTTAAATAGTAGGACAAATATTTGTAAAAATCATTGCTATTTGCAGAAAGTGTTAATGTAATAGATTCTCGCAAAAAATGTTACAATTGAAAAAAATATATTCTTGTCTTTAAATTATCTCCAAAGGGTTGATAAACCGTAAATAAATAAATAAATTTCTCTCCGGCAATGAATTAGGATGCTTATCTATCTCTAGGGAGGCACG